CCCAGGAGGCCCAAACGACGCCTAAAGAGGCCACAAAACAGCCCCGAGGAGGCCCCACAACGGTCCCAAAACGGCTACCGAGAAGCTGCGAAATTGCCTTTACGACGTCCCCGACAGGCCAACCACGAGATCCAAACCAACACCCATGAGGCCTCTGTGACAGCACTTGTGCACAGCATGTTCCGGCGGGAGCCTTCCGGAACACGCTGCAGGAGGAGCAGGAAGATCAGGAGGAGAGAGAGCCGGAGTGGGAGGAGGAGGGGGACGAGGAGGAAGAGGCCTCCCACACAGCTCCAAGATAGCCGAAGATGCTTCCAAGAGTGCCCTGGGCGGCCCACGAGGGCCCCAAGGCGGTGCCTGAGGCGCCCAAGACGGCCCGAGAGGGCCCCAAGACGGCCCCAAGAGAGGCCCAAGAAGGGAAAGACGAACTGAGAATCCGAGCTTTCTACCCCGAGAGGTTCTCGGAAAGTCCCAAGAGGCCAATCGGATCCAAGGGGCCCCCAAGAAGCTCCGAAGAGGGCCGACGAGGTTCCAAGAGATCTCCCAAGGTGGCCCCAAGAGGCACAGCTCATTGTTTTACGATTGGGCTTTGACGGGTTTTAATTTTTCCTGCCTTTTGGCATCCCGATGCTCCAAGACGGCCCAAGAGGCTTCCAATACCGCTCCCATATAGAGGAAGAGGCCTCCAAGAGGGCCCCAAGACGGCCCGCGAGGGCCCCAAGACGGTGCTTGAGGCGCCCAAGACGGCCCGAGAGGGCCCCAAGAGCCCCAAGAGAGGCCCAAGAAGGGAACGCGACCCAACAGCAGAGCGGTCCCCCCACAAGGCCCACAGGAGGCCGCAAGAGGCCCCCAAGTGGTCCGACGAGGACCCCAAAAGTTTCCCGAGGGCCTAAAAGGCCCCTAGGAGACGTCCAAGAGGCTTTAAAATAGCCCAAGAGTGCCCTCGATGCGTCAAAACTGCTTCCAGGAGGCCCCCAGGAGGCTTCCGGATTGCCTCAATCTGGCCGCAGGTGGCCTCAAGTCGGGCCTCCACGCAGCCAAGACGGCCAATGACGGCTTCAGATTGCAGAACCGATGCCCCCAAGGGACCCTCAGACGCCCCCCCAAGAAGCACCCAAGAGGTGCCTCCAACAGCCAGTTGACGAAGCATGCGGAACACCCCAGAAGCTCCTCAGATGCCGTCGCGCGCCTGTGCTTGATAGCGTTGTCCAAGATCGTCCAGCACCCCCCCGGCCTGGGCTAGAACCTGAGCGCGCGCGAAGCCCGCGCGATGGTTCTAGCCCAGGGGCCCGAAAACAGCTGCCCGACCCTCCATGGGAGTACCGGAGCTCATTTTCGCTGTGTTTTTACGGGGTTTCGGCGTCCCGGGCCTGGGAGGCCGCCGCGATGGTCCTGGACATTTTCCAGATCCTCGGCGCGGGCTCCAAGACCATTTCGCAGAGGGCTCTAACAGGCTCCAGGGCAGCCCAAGAGGGCTCCAAGACGGCTCCAGGAACGACTGCAGGGTCTCATTTTTCGTGTGTTTTCTGCAAGACGGCTCCTGGAAGACTGCATGTCTTATGAGGATGGCTTCCGCCTCTTGCCCCGAGCATCCCAAACTGCCTGAACGGTTCCCACTTGCCTTCCCCAAACCCAGCGCTTGCCCAAGCGCGTTCCGGACGGTCTTCGCCGGAACGCGCTGGAATGATCACGCGCTGCGGTTTCCCATGCCAACGTCCTCGGACGTGGTCGCCCTGCCACGAGCGCGTTCCGGGAAGATGCTCTCGGAACGCGCTGAAAAGATATGGCCACATCTCGGGTACGATCCCGGCACCGCTGCCCCAACCGTCTCGGGCAGCCTCCACAGCGCTCCAGGAGGGCCCAAGACGCCCCCCAGGAGCCCCCAGAATGCGAAAGGATGGCCCAAGACGCTCCCGAACAGCCCAAGTCAGCCTTCCGACGGCTCTCGAGGCTCCCAGGTGGCCTCCACGAGACCCCAAGAAGTCTGATAGGTATCATGGTACGGCCCGAAGAGGCCAAAGTCGTATATGTTCAATGGTCTTTTCAATGTTTTTGGCTTCTCGCGTTTTCGAGTTTCCAACGGTCCAAGAGCGCCGAAGAGCCTCCATGGGGGTACCGGGGCTCATTTTCCCTTTGTTTTTGAAGGGTTTCCGCGTCCTGGGCCTCGGAGGCCGCCGCCTCCGAAATGGGAGGACGGGGCGGCCGGGGAGGTCCAAAATAGTCCAGGAGGGCCTCCAGAGGCTCCCAAGACGGCCCAAGCGGGCCCCGAGTCGCCGAAAGACCGCTCCAGGACCCCCAAGATAGGCCCAAGACGGCCTGAGAGGCCGCCCAAGGCACTCCACGACGATTCAAGACGCCTCTCCAGAGCGCTTCAAGAGGCCGAAGTCGTCAATTTTACGAGGGTTTTCGAACGATTTTGACCTTCCAGTCTTTTCGGCTGTCCGACGTTCCAAGACGGCTCAATAGGCCCCCCAAGAGCGCCCCAAGACGGCCCAAGAGGGCCCCAAGACGGCCCCAGAGTCGCCCAAGACAGCCCAACAGAGCCCCAAGATGCGCCCAAGAGGGGGACCACGACTCCAAAATTGGACCCTCCCACTTGAAGAGTGCCCCAGGAGGCCCCAAGGAGCCCCAAAGAGGACCCCAAAAGGCACCCAGGAGGCCCAAACGAAGCCTAAAGAGGCCACAAAACAGCCCCGAGGAGGCCCCACAAGGGTCCCAAAACGGCTACCGAGAAGCTGCGAAACTGCCTTCACGACGTCCCCGACAGGCCAACCACGAGATCCAAACCAACACCCATGAGGCCTCTGACCCACCACCCAGGGCACGGTGGCGGGAGCAGTGACAGCACTTGTGCACAGCATGTTCCGGCGGGAGCCTTCCGGAACACGCTGCAGGAGGTGGAGGAAGATCAGGAGGAGAGAGAGCTGGAGTGGGAGGAGGAGGAGGGGGACGAGGAGGAGAAAGAGGCCTCCCAGACAGCTCCAAGATAGCCGAAGAGGCTTCCAAGAGGGCCCTGGGCGGCCCACGAGGGCCCCAAGGAGATTGTTTTTTTATCCTCTGGGGGGTAACGCTCGTTACCCGGGCCTCTCCCCCCCCCCCCCCCCCGTAACGGTAACGCTCGTACGCGGGGGGGGTCTCGGTCTTCCCCTCCAACATGCTGGTGCCCGAAGGCATGCGCACTGTGGTGTGGTGGTCGCAGGCGCACTGTGGGCGCTCGCAGGCCATTGCGGCGCTCGCATGCGCGATGCTGGTGCTTGCGGGCTTTGCGCTTGTACTCGAATCGTCGTCGTCGTCGTCGTCGTCGTCGTCGTCGTCGTCGTCGTCGTCGTCGTCGTCGTCGACGGCGCCCGAAAACGGCCTCCGGAGGCCGAAACAGGCGGCAAACGTCGTCGTCGTCGTCGTCGACCTCGTCGCTCGTCGCTCGTCGATCATCGTCGTCGCGCGCGCGGGCGCGGGCGTGGTGCCGGGACCACGCGGCGGGCTTTGCGCTTGTACTCGAATCGCAAGCCACTGTGGTGCTCTCAGGCAGAGAGTGCTGCTCGCGCGCATACTATGGCGATCGCAGAGCGCCCCTGCTTCGCCATACCCCGCCCAGCCCAAGCGTTACCGTTACCCGGGGGGCACGACCCCCCCCCCCCCGGGTAACGAGCGTTACCGGCCGGAATAAAAAAATTATCTCAAGGCGGTGCCTGAAGCGCCCAAGACGGCCCGAGAGGGCCCCAAGACGGCCCCAAGAGAGGCCCAAGAAGGGAAATACGAACCGAGAATCCGAGCTTTCTACCCCGAGAGGTTCTCGGGAAGTCCCCAGAGGCTCCCAACCGGATCCAAGAGGCCCCCAAGAAGCTCCCAAGAGGGCCGACGAGGTTCCAAGAGATCTCCTGAAGGTGGCCCCAAGAGGCACAATTCGTTGTTTTACGATTGGGCTTTGACGGGTTTTATTTTTTGTTCTGCGTTTGGGCATCCCGATGCTCCAAGACGGCCCAAGAGGCTTCCAATACCGCTCCCATATAGAGGAAGAGGCCTCCAAGAGGGCCCCAAGACGGCCCGCGAGGGCCCCAAGACGGTGCTTGAGGCGCCCAAGACGGCCCGAGAGGGCCCCAAGAGCCCCAAGAGAGGCCCAAGAATGGGAACGCGACCCAACAGCAGAGCGGTCCCCCCACAAGGCCCGCAGGAGGCTGCAAGAGGCCCCCAAGTGGTCCGACGAGGACCCCAAAAGCTTCCCGAGGGCCTAAAAGGCCCCTAGGAGACGTCCAAGAGGCTGTAAAACAGCCCAAGAGTGCCCTCGATGCGTCAAAACTGCTTCCAGGAGGTCCCCGGGAGGCTTCCGGATTGCCTCAATCTGGCCGCAGGTGGCCTCAAGTCGGGCCTCCACGCAGCCAAGACGGCCAATGACGGCTTCAGATTGCAGAACCGATGCCCCCAAGGGACCCTCAGACGCCCCCCCAAGAAGCACCCAAGAGTGCCTCCAACAGCCAGTTGACGAAGCATGCGGAACACCCCAGAAGCTCCTCAGATGCCGTCGCGCGCCTGTGCTTGATAGCGTTGTCCAAGATCGTCCAGCGCTCCCACGGCCTGGGCTAGAACCTGAGCGCGCGCGAAGCGCGCGCGATGGTTCTAGTGTGTGTATATATATATACATATATATATATATCATATATATATATATATAATATATATATATATATATATATATATATATGCATATATATATATATATATATATATATCCTCTCCTGCTCCTTGTCCTCCTCCGCTTCCTCCCCCTCCTCCTCATCCTCCTGCTCCTCCTCCTCCGTCCTCTCCTCCCCCTTCTCCCCCTCCTCCCTCTCCTCCCTCTCCTCCCCCTCATGCTCCCATCCTCCCCGTCGCCTCTCGCTCTCTCTCTCTCTCTCTCTCTTTCTCTCCTTCTCACTCCCTCCATCTCCTCTTCCTTCTTCTCCCCTTTGTTTCAGTTGCCTTTGGTCCTGCCCGTCACACACCCCAGCCCCAGTCCTGGCGAGGCCGGCCACCAGAAGCGGGCCTTGGAGCTCTGCTTCTCCGCCAAGCTCTTCGACGCGTTGCGCAAGATCGCGGGCTCGCCCCTGCTCATACCTTGTTTGTCTCGTATCGCCCCCTCTTTCTGTTCGCGGTGACCATCGAATTACCTCTCCTCCTCCTCCTCCTCCTCCTCCTCCTCCTCCTACCCCTTTCTCCTTCTCCTTTCGCCTCCTGGTCCTCCTCCCCCTCCTCCACTTCTAGCATCATTAGTATCAAGAGTATCAGTATCATCATCATCATCATCATCATCATCATCATCAGCAGCAGCAGCATCATCATCATCAACATCAACATTAACATCAACATCACCAGCAGCACCACCATCATCATCGCCATCATCATCATCATCATCAACAGTAGCATCATCAGCCGCAACATCATCGTCGTCATCATCATCATCATCATCATCATCATCATCATCATCATCATCATCATCATCATCATCTTCATCATCATCATCATCATCATCATCATCATCATCATCATCATACGCATCAACATCATCATCATTTTCATCACCATCATCATCATTATCATAATCTTCATCAGCAGCATCATCACCGTCATCATCACCATCACAATTTTAATCAGAATGAATATCATCAGCTGCATCAGTAGCTTCATCATCATCATCCTCATCAGCAGCAACAGCATCCTCATCATCATCATCATCATCATCATCATCATCGTCATCACCATCCGTACCATCCTCATCGTCATCACCATCAGCAGCAGCACCATCAGCAGCCCATCAACAGCATCATCATCACCAACACCACCATCATCATCATCATCATCATCAGCATCAGCATCAGCATCACCACCAGCATCATCATCATAACCGTCATCACCATCATCATCATTGCCAGTGTCACTGTCATTATCACCATCATCCGTATCGTCCTCGTCCTCGTCGTCATCATGCGCATCCTCAACAGCATCATCCTCATCATCCTCATCATCCTCATCCTCATCATCATTCCCACCATCATCATCATCATCACACAAGCATCATCATCATCATCAGCAGCAGCAGCATCATCACCATCACCATCACCCATCATCACCATCATCATCATCATCATCATCCTCATCCTCATCCTCATCCTCATCCTCATCCTCATCCTCATCATCCATATCATCCCCATCATCCCCATCAAGACTCATCCTCCTCCGCCGCCCTCCTGATCATCCTCCGCCTCCCTTTTCCTCTTCCTGCACCCCCCCGTTTCCTCAGTCAGGGTTTGGGGGCGATCCGCCCGCCCCGCCCGCCCCGCCCCTGTTCGTCTCTCCCTCTGCATGCCCCTCCTCCTCCTCCTCCTCCTCCTCCTCCTCCTCCTCCTCCTCCTCCGCGTCCTCGCCCCGCTCCCCCGCCCTGAGCGTCGCGCCCAGCCTCGCCCCCCCCCCCCCCCCAGGCGAGCTCAGCGCGGACTCGGACCCTGAGGTCCTTCCAGGGGGGGGCAGGGAGCCGAGAGGGCCATGAGCGAGGGGAGGAGGGGGCCTTCCTCCTCCTCCTCCTCCTCCTCCTCCTCCTCCTCCTCCTCCTCCTCCTCCTCCTCCTCCTCCTCCTCCTCCTCCTCCTCCTCTATTCCTTTTCCTTATACATACTTTCTCCCTGTCGCACCCCGAGGCCAGTTTTTAAGGCGGGCCGGGTGTTTCGCTTGAGACGTCCTCATCATTTATGGTTCTGAAGCTTAAAAATGGCAGCAGTTGCACATATGGAGGGCGGGTCGTTTTCAACATGTGGTTTTTCGCCGTAGCGCCGGGCACATTCTTTGTAACCATTTGCAAGAATTTCGCGGGTTGAGGGGGGGGTCAGAATGTCGCTCTCGCCTTAGCGCCGCGCACATGCGTTTTAACAATTTGCAAGCGTTTCACGGATCGGTGGCGGGCGGTTTTGAATATGTGGGTCTCCCTTTAGCGCCGCGCACATCCGCTTTGAAACCCATTGCAAAAGCTTCACGGATCGAGCCTGGGTTGTTTTCAAAACATGGTTCTCGCCTTAGCGCCGCGCACATTCGCTTTTAAACAACTTGCAAGAATCTCACGGCTTGAAGGCGGGCGGTTTTTTAAAATGCGTTTCTCGCCCGAGCGCCGCGCACATTCGTTTTAACATGTGCAGGAGTTTCACGGATTGGTGGCGGGCGGTTTTCAATGTGTGGTTCTTCCTTTAGAGCTGCGCACATCCGCTTTCAGACATTGCAGGAACTTCACGGATTGAGGGCGGGTCGTTTTCAAACTACGGCTCTCGCTTTAGCGCCGCGCACATTCGCTTATAAACACTTTGCAAGAGCTTCACGGATTGAGGCCGGTTCGTTTTCAAAGTGTGGTTCTCGCTTTAGCGCCACGCACACTCGTTCGAACAAGTTACAAGAGTTTCACGGATTCCCATGATCGACTTATCAGATATGGTGTTTCGGAAGGATTCAGCATTATGCGGGTGCAACAGTTCTGCTGGCTCGCGGTGTTCAAGTTTCAACGATGGCGTTCTGGCGCGATTCCATATCGTCAGGACGCAGCAATCAGGTTGATCCGTAGCGTGGAAATCCCGAGAGCAATGTTTTGGCATGCTTCAAGGTCTTCAAACGGTTTTCTTCCAACGAGGCAGTTCCCTGAATGGAGATGAATCGCTGTAGGGGCTTATGAAGAGGGACCTTGGAGGAAGGGGTAATTCCAACATCGTTGATGATTCTTGGGTTTACACTGGTCCTCCTCCTCACCATCATCCTCTTCCGTCTGGTTTTCCTCCTCTTCCTCCTCCTCCTCTTCCCCATATCGCACTCGAGGCACGGTCTGCGAGCCAAATTTTTCACGCCGGGTTGTCGGTGCCAGCGCGCCCATGAGCTCACAAAGCGATGTACTTGCGGGTCCCAAGTTTTCTGCGTGGGGCTGTAAATGCGGGAAGGATGGGAATTGTGCCAGCCATGTCAAGCGCCGAGGGTGTGGAGCGAATGCGCCGAAACGGATCCTCACGTCGGCAAAAGGAGCAGCTGCAAAGTTCCGCGGGTGTAAGCATTCTGGAGGAGGCCGCCCCAATGGAGGAAAAGGCGGCCCTGACCGAGCCAAGGCAACTCGAGAGCTCAAGGCCGAGGTTGCGGGAGCAGCGAGCCTGCCCGTTCCAAGCCACTGCAGCCGTCTAATTGTGAGATCTCGTATGCTGAAGTTCTGATGTTCCTCAATAACCAACAGGTGGATGCCACAGCCGCTGTCGCTGTGGAAGCCGCCGAGGTTCGAGAGGCAGAGAGCAAGCCACCTTCGGCCACTGCTGCACAGCATCGCGCGGACAATGCGAGACGCAAAACTGAGAATCTGGAGGCTCGCATCAAGATTTACAAGGTGCAGCGCGACGGGATCGCCGCTGCCATGTCCGAGGCCGACAGCACCCTCGCCGACGCGAAGGTCGAGCTGGAGCGGCACATCAAGATGCTGTATCGCGTCCAGCTGGAGCAGGTTCCTGACCCAGTGGCCGTCGGCCTTTCAGGGTTGGACTCCACCGCCACCGAGCGCCAGGAGGGCAAGGGCGCTTGGTTGTCCTGCAGCGCCTGCGCAGCGAGGCCAAGGCGCGGGTGGCCGCGGCGCAGAGCGGTGCGTCGGGCCCTGCGCAGCTTGGCGGGGCGGGCCTTGCTCCCGGGAGCGATGGCGATGGTGATGGGGACTCTGTTGGGGGCGCTGCCGAAGAGCCCCCAGACGCCAATGTGGAGCCCCCCAAAGCCGAAAACTAGTTTCAAGCGGGCGATGGAAGAGCACGGCGCCCAGGCTGCCGTCACCGAGTACCTTGCCGAGCATGAGGCCAAGCGGCAGCGGCGGCTTCGATGATGGAGCAGTTGTCCTGGGCCTCCCGCGGGCCAGCTGGCCGCCGCCGAGTGCAGCGCGCCTTCGTCCTGCAGGGGCTGCAGCCGTTTGTCCGAAGATCGGCATGGCGGACCCCGACCAGCTTTGGCAGACGCATGTGGGGGGCGGAGCCTGGGAGGGGCCTCCCTTTGCCGCGCCTGCCCGCCGTGGCATCGATGTCGGTTCCCCCCACATGGCCAGGCATGCGAAAGAGCGCGCCCGCAGCGCCGGGAATAAGGAAAGGGGGGCCCCAGCTTCAAGCTACCCCCCCCCTCCCTTCCAAAACGGGGGGAGCTTCCGGAGCCCCCCCCCCATTCTGGATTGGTTTCTAAGCCAGGGGGGGCCCTGGCTAAAGGGGGGGAGGCTTCGGAGCAGAAGGTGAGCCCCGGTTTCCCTTTCAAAGAGGGGGGGGGTTCGGAAGCCACCCCCCTCCTTCGTTTTTTGGTCTGGACACAGGGGGGGGGCGGCTTCAAGCTGCCCCCCTCCACCCTCCTTTGCAAAGGCGGGGGGCTTCCGAAACTACCCCCCCTCCCTTCCGGGGCCATGGCAAAATGGTTGAAACCCTGCAGACGGGTGCGCGCCGCAGCGCTAGAGAGCGCATTGGATAATAACGTCGACCCCAGGTTCGTTTTCTTGTTTTCTTGTTTTCTCGGCCCCTGGTTCGTAGTCTCGTTTTCTCGGGTTTTGATTGTTTTTGTTATAGTTTTCTCGCTTTCTTGGCCCCTGGTTCGTTTTCTTGTTTTTTTTCGGACTGTGGGTCGCGGTCTCGTTTTCTCTGACCTTGGTTCGTGTTTTCGTTTTCTCGTTTTCTCGGCCCCTGGGTCGTGGTCTCGTTTTCTCGGACGCTGGTTAGTATTATCGCTTTCTTGTTTTCTCGGCCCCCGGGCGGTGGTCTCGGTTTCTCGGACTGCTTATTTTTCTTGTTTCTTCGTCTTCTCGGCTCCTGGGTCGTGGTCTCGCTTTTTCGAACGAAGCGTTGTCTGGTGATCTCGGCCCTTGGGTCGCAATTTCGTCAGACCTTGGTTCGTTTTCTCGTTTTCTCGGCCCTGGGTCGTGGGTCGTTTTCGCGTTTTCTCGCTTCCTCGGCCCCTGGATCGTGGTCTCGTGTTCTCGGGGCCTGGTTAGTTTTCTCGTTTTTTGTTTTCTCGGCCCTTGGGTCGTGGTCTCGTTTTCTCTGACCCTGGTTCGTTTGCTCGTTTTTTTGTTGTCTCGGCCCCTGGTTCGTAGTCTCGCTTTCTCGTGCCCTGATTCCTTTCATCGTTTTCTCGTTTCATCGGCCCGTGGGTAGTGGACGTGTTTTCTCGGACTCTGGGTCGTTTTCTTGTAATTGTGCACTTGGCTCGCGGTCTCGCTTGCTCGGACTTGGTTTGTTTTTTCGTTTTCTCGTGTTCTCCGCCCCTGGGTCGTGGTCTCGTTTTCTCGGACCCTGGTTCGTGGTCTCGTTTTCTTGTTTTCTCGGTCCCTGGGTCGTGGTCTCATTTTTCCTCGCACCTTAGTTTGTTTTATCGGTTTCTCTTGTTCTCGGCCCCTGGGTCGTGGTCTCTTGTTCTCTGACCCTGGTTCGTTGTTTGTTTTCTCGGCCCCTGGATCGTGGCCCCGTTGTCTCGGACCCTGGCTCGGTTTCTCGTGTTTTCCGTTTCTCGGCCCCTGGATTGTTGTTCTGTTTTCTCTGACTTTGGTTCGTGTTCTCGTTTTCTCGGCCCCTGGGTCGTGGTCTCGTTTTCTCGGACGCGGGTTTGTTGTCTCGCTTTCTTGTTTTCTCGGCCCCTGGGTCGTACTGTCGTTTTCTCGGACCCTGGTCCGTTTCACACTTTCTCGTTTTCTCGGCCATTGGGTCGTGGTCTCGTTAGCTCGGCCTTTGGTTCGTTTTCTCGTTTTCTCGTGTTCTCGGCCCCTGGGTTTTTCGCTCGTTTTCTCGGGCGCTGGTTCGTTGTCTTGTTTTTTCGTTTTCTCGGCCCCTGGGTCGTGGTCTCGGTTTCTCTGACCCGGAGTCGTTTTCTTGTTGTCTTGTTTTCTCGGCCCCTGGGTCGTGGTCTCGTTTTCTTGGACGCTGGTGTGTTTTCTCGTTTTCTGGTTTTCTCTGCCCTTGGGTCGTGGTCTCGTTTTCTTGGACCTTAATTCGTTTCCTCATGTTCTTGTTTTCTCGGCCCCTGGGTCGTGGTCTCGTTTTCTCAGACCCCGTTTCGTCTTCTCGTCTTCTCGGCCCTTGGGTCGTGGCCTCGCTTTCTCAGGCCATGGTTTGTTTTCTTGTTTTCTCGTTTTCTGTGCCCCTGGGTCGTGCCTTGGTTTTCTGGGACCATGGTTAGTTTTATCGGTTTTCTCGTGTTATCGGCCCCTGAGTCGTGGTCTCGTGTTCTCTGGCCCTGGTTCGTTTTCTCGTTTTCTCGTGGTCTCAGCCCTTGGGTCGTGGTCTCGTTTTCTCTGACCCTGCTTCGTGTTCTCGTTTGTTTCTCTGCCCCTGGGTCGTGGTCTGGTTTTGTCTGACCCTGGTTCGTTGTCTCGTTTTCTTGTTTTCTCGGCCCCTGGGTCGTGGTCTCGTTTTCTTGGACGCTGGTGTGCTTTCTCGTTTTCTCGTTTTCTCTGCCCTTGGGTCGTGGTCTCGTTTTCTTGGACCCTGATTCGTTTTCTCATTTTCTTGTTTTCTCGGCCCCTGGGTCGTGGTCTCGTTTTCTCGGACCGATGCTCGCGTTTTCTCGGCCTGGGTCGTGGTCCCGTTTGCTCGGACCTTGGTTCGTGTTCTCGTTTTTCCGTGTTCTCGGACTCTGGGTCGCTATTTCGTTTTCTCGGACCCTGTCTCGTTCTCGTTTTCTCGGCTCCTGAGTGTTTGTCTTGTTTTCTCGGGCCCTGGTTCGTTTTCTCGTTTTCTCGGCCCTTGGGACGTGTTCTCGCTTTCTCGGGCCCTGGTTCGTTTTCTCGTTGTCTCGTGTTCTCGGCCCCTGGGTCGTGGTTTCGTTTTCTCGGGCATTGGTTTGTTTTCTCGTTGTCTCGTTTTCTCGGCCCCTGGGTCATGGGCTCGTTTTCTCGGACCATGGCTCGTTTTGGCTCGTTTTCTCGTTTCCTACGCCCCTGGGCCATGGTCTTGTTTTCTCGGTTCCTGCTTCGTTTCCTCGTGTTCTCAGCCCCTGGGTCGTGGTCTCGTTTTCTCTGGCTCTGTGTCGTCGTCGGTCGTCGGTCACGCGTCATCCGTCGTCCGTCGCCGCCTTCGTATGACCTCGTCCTCGTCGTGACGACCACGACGAGGTCATTCGAAGACGGCAACAATGACGGCGACGGCGGCGACGACGACGACGACGAGGACGACGACGACGTCGCACGAAGACGTCGAGCGACGGCGACGGCAACGACGACGGCGACGGGGGAGGGATCGTCCGGCAGGGTGAGTTCAAGGGAGAGGGGCGGTAGCTAAGTCGCCCCTCCCCTTTCGGAAAGGGGGGGGGGGGAGCTTCCGGCAGGGGGGAGAAAAATGGAGGGGAGGCCGGGGTGGTTTCCGGCAGAAGGGGGTGTCCAAGGAGGGGGGGGTAGCTAAGCTCCCCTCCCCTTTCGTCCGGGGGGGGAAGGGGGGTAGCTTCCCGGGTGCCGAAAGGGGGGGGGGGCTGCCAAGCTCCCCCCCTTTGGAACCAAACGGGGGAGGGGGGGGGTAGCTTCCGGCAGAGGGGGGTCAAGGGCAAGGCGGGGTAGCTAAGCCCTCCCTCTTTTTGGAAGGGGGGGAGGGGGGGGAGCTTCGGAGCGGCGAAAGGGGGAGAGGGGAGGGGGAGTTTCAGGGGGGAGGCGAAAAAGGGGGGGAGGAGGGGGAGCTTCCAGCAGGGGAGGTGAAAGGGAGCGGGGGGGGGTATAGCTAAAGTGGGTCCTCCAGTTGCCGACTGAGTACCAGTCAGGATCCTCAGCATTATCCAGGGGTACGAGGACAATCCAGATTGGTTCCAGGTCTGTGTGACAACGTCGCGTTCATCCCGAAGCCCAGAGGGAGGTTCGCCCGATTGGCTTGTTGTGTCTGTTCATGAAGTGATGGAGAAAGTTTCAACAGCCGACGCGCCGCGAATTGGAACGGGCCCACTGGGTGGACGTCGTCTGGGGCAGCGGTCCCACGACGACGCGCGAGCGGGCGGGCTGGTCCCACAGCTTGATGGCGGCGTTCTGCCGCGCGATGGGGACGGACAGTGCCGCTGCGCTCTGTGAGCGCACGTGTCATCCAGACTTGTTGACTGCGGCTCGCCAGTGCGACTTCAGTATGAAACTCCTCATGGGCCTGGCCACGATACATTATGGTTTTTGGGCTCTGCTGTTCGACGGTGCCATGCCGGAGTTTCCCCGGGCCTGGGGGGCTGGTGCCGCGGGGTGTTCGGCGGACAACTCTGGCAAAATCTATCCTGCTGGGCCCGCTCACGGAAGCAACTCGTGGCAAGCCGCAGCTCAGGGTCCGCACCGTGGTGGATGGCATCGCGCTGCAATTTTTCGGCCCGGGGAGGGTAGTGCTCGGGCAGCTTCCAGCAGCGGTCGCGACGCTGATGACCAGCTTCGCGGACCTCAAGCTGCCCGCCAATCTGTCCAAGTGTATGGTTTTGGCGAGCAGCCCTTGGCCGTGGCGTTGAGCAAGAAGCGGTCGCTTCCTCCAGAGAACTACGCGCTCCATGCGCGCAACCTTGGGACCGACGCGACTCTGGGAGGCCTCCGAAGAGTGGGGATCACGGCGCGCCGCTGGAAGAATGCACCCGGGACCTCGGGGAGATTGGCACGCCTCAGAGAGGCCGGGGCGGACGCGACCTGGGCCCGCAGAGAGGGCCTGACGGCCTCGGCCTGGCGGGGCGTCGCGGCGATGGGGCCCCTCCATCGGCCCTCCGTCAGCTTCGGGCCAGTGCGCGTCGCAGTCTTGGCCGACTTCCGCGGGGAGCTACGGCGGGGCCCGGGCTCTATACTTACAAGGACCGGCTCAGAGTGAACCCCCGGGTCGTCTCGGCGGGCCCCGCGGTGCACC